GTCCACGGTCAACTCGACCGGACTCGGCGAGTACTCTGGCGACTCGGTGAGTCTAGTCGTCCTCCAATCCTCTAAGGTTTCCCTTCTACTCGTCGAGTATCCTCCTTGACCCGACGAGTTACTCCTGGAAGAATCGCGGGGCCACCCCGACTCCACTCGCCGAGTCTGAGGAACAACTCGACGAGTCCCAGTTATTCTTCAAGCTACTCGCCGAGTCTGCTCATCTGACTCGGCGAGTCCATGCCATGCAGCCGCTCAAACTGCTCCCTAAGGTCAGAACTGCTCCGACCATTCATAGGTCTGGCCTTCCTAGACTGATCCATTATGTATGGTCCTCATTTCGGTGCTCATGCTACACCCCAAGACTTATAATTCACATGTTGACCTAAGGCATAAGGATTTCAATCCAAAACCTTCACCAATTCCCGAAATGCACAGACATGGGGGTATTCTGGACCTCCAAGGGTCCCAACACGGTGTTACAATCATTTGGGGGACTAGGGTAACATTCAATCTATCCACAAAAAGGGTTCCATAAACCCTAATCCTCTAAATACATCACCATAGCAGAGTATACCCGAATTCATACCTGAATAATGCACTCTCTGTGTCCCCAAACCTCAGAACGTGATTCCCTTGCTGTTCCTTTAGCCAAGCCCTTCTCTTCCTTGCACAACAACTCTTTCAAAATCACCAATTGCCTTTAGCCTTGCTCCAGATGCACACAATCAGTTTAGGGTTCCTCTCAGAAGGCTAAAACGAACAATGACGGCCAATAAGTCCTCTTTATACGTCCCAAACCTGAACGGCTAGGGTTTTCACTAAACAGCGCAGACTCGCCGAGTCCCTATCTGGACTCGTCGAGTCCAGTCGCGAACCCGCGACCAGGTCTGCGATCCTACTCGGCGAGTCTGGCTCCAACTCGCCGAGTCCCCCCTTAAAACACCCAAAAATATAATTTTAACAATACTTGGGATTCCGGGCTGTTACAGATAGGTTATAACAACAAATCAAGTCAAGTAATACTTACATTTTCATAAAATCGGGTGAAGAACGGTATGCTAGTTGAGAGAGAATAGCTTTGGTTCTTGAGTTAGGAAAAAGGGAAATGATAGAATGGAGAGTAAACTCATGGTTAAGGCATGAGTTTTCGGCCCTAAGAGAGTTCACGGCCCAAACTCTCTTTGTTTGGCCGTGAACACCAATTCAAGGTGTTGATCGTTCCATTACATTCCTGATTAACTAGAAGTCACTTCCTTTTATTCGGACGATTCATGAATAATTAATTAAAATACTCAAACGGAATTTAAACTGGCTATAAATTAGCATAAAGGCATGTAACTTCTAATTGAATTGTTGGATAGTAAAGTTTGTACGAATGAAAATTTTGGGTTGTCACAATTTTGTACTTCCTTTATTTGACCCCGTGATTGTTCCAGTTCCGTTTTCATCTACCACAAGTGCCAACTTCATCGCATGTCCCAACCCATGTGGTTGCAAGATCCGAACCGACTTGCGCAAGTTCGGTTTCAACCCCTTGATGAAAGTCCCCTCCAAAATTGACTCTTGATGCCCTCGAGATGTGCAACCATTAGTTCAAAACGTCCCCCGTATTCACAGGCCGATCCAATATGTCGTATGTCCAAAAAATGTTCTTTCAAACTACCCTCCTATGACACCTGGAAACATTCTAGCAACCTATTCTTTAAATCTTCCCAACACCGGAAAGGCATCAATGTGTCGCTCCATCTATACCATGCCAGTGCTGACCCTTCCAAACATTGGACTGTTGCACGTAGTCTCTCACCCGATGTTGCCAACCCTTGCATATCAAATAAACGTTCCACTTTATAAACCCACCCGTAAACATCTTCCCTTCAAATAGCATAATCTTGAGTTTTCTCAATCTGTAATCCACGTTTGGGACCCATTCCCCTCCATGTCCTAGGTTAGACCCAAAGTATGGTCCCATTCGAACAGGTTGTGTGGTCGGCTATTCTTCGATTCCCCAACCTTCCCCAATATATGCTCGAAATTTGGTGTTGCTTGATCCAAATTCTGGACGCATATTATACGGAGGAACCAAATACCCTTGTTCGTCATATTGAAGCGTTGACGTGATCCAGGGCAGTTGTGTTTAGATGATAGGGGTTTGTGGCCATCCTCCTGTTCCTAGGTGCTGGTGATTTGGAGGTGGCATCGAAAAATTCAAGGGTGGCAGCATTTGAATAATGGGTCGGTAGGTGGTGATGGGTGGTGGTAATGATTGGATGATTAGTGGCAGTTGCGTGACTGACGGTGGATCTGTGGCGGTAGCGGGTGGCGGTTGGGTGTTAGGTTGGGCCACCTTAATAAGGAGTGCCATAACTTTTGCATGGTGTTGATCAGCTAAGGTTTGGCGCCTTTCTGATTTAGTACTGATCTCTCCTAATTCCGCTCTATCATCTCAATCCGATCCCATGAGGAACTCTCTTCCAAGACCGAATCTTTATTCAAATTTCGGGCAACAATATCAGATCCGGTGTTGGGTTTCGGTGTCGTGCAGTAAACGATGTGAACAGTGTTCGGTGAACAGTAAATGATGTGAGTAGTGGTCGGTGAAAAATAATCGCGTGAACAGTACCTCCGATGAACAATTGTTGAGAACAATACTCCAGGAAAGTGCTTCGATACCAATTTTATATGAACTGATTAGAAAATAACTCAATCTTAGGTTAATGCTTAAAGAACAAAAGATAGGTGACTGATATTCGAGACTTAGCGGATCTCCAAATAAAAGAAAACGACTAACTAAAATTTTACCTCCCCATAGAAGAGTCGGCCCTAACCTATTTATTGACTCTCCTAACCTTATAAAAGGAAACTATATTCGTAAAGGGAAACCCTAACTGCATAAGGGAAGTAGAATTAACTAGATAAATACTAAATAATAAAGATACTTGAATAATCATAAATTACTAAACAACCCTCTGCTTTTTTTACACTTCTTATAGACCCAATCCCACTTATCCACTCGGTTCATATCAGAATGAGAGTGGATGCATCACTGTTGAATCTGATGAAGTGATCTTACATTATCAGAATTGGACGAAATATACACGACTTTTGTGAAATGGGTCCATTAGCAAAAACTCATAACTTTGTCATTACCTGAGGTGCTTTTAGCTATTCATTAGGAGCTTAAAATGATTTTTTTTGGAAAATTTATCATATTTGGTTAATTTTAATAATTAACTAAAGTTTTATCCCAATAAATTTTAATATGCCATGATTATGAAAATTAGCTTATCTTCTAAGCACTTCACTTTTCCTTTGTTTTTGAGACAAATTTTGAAGTTTATTAATAAAGATATGTTTTGGAGTTATCTTTTTGTTCTATGTGTTTGTATTGGTTGGTCGTTCAATCCGATTGTTTGGGTATGATAGGTATTTGATATCTCAGAGCAAATGTACGAATAGTTGAACAAATTCTTCATGGGCGTTGATCGGCTCGTGGTGGACAAGGTCTAAGGAATGATGGAGTCGATATGTGTGATCCATGTAATATAGAGATTGCATTCTTACAACGATAGATCCAAGAACTTGTTTTCTTTCATCAAATACTCATTGGGAGCGGAGACAATATCGGAAGCAGGCATTTGGGGCAATCGTTACAAGGTCCATTTTTTTTACCCAGAGGAGATCGTTGCGAAGGAGAATGCATTAACGATCAGTTGAAGAACATTGGTTGAATGTTTAGATTCCTAAGTTTACACGACATGTTTACCTTATTGAATTCATTGAATGATTAAGTATTGTTAAAGGATTGTTTGATTTGCAATACATACCGGAACACTTGAAGATGAAGTTGGTCGCCATCGGATTAAGGAAACACGCCTCTCTTCGATGGGAACATGTGAAGAAACAATGAAAACTAGCAGTAAAATCAAAGACTGTTAAGTGAAAAAAAAATGAAGAAATTTATGAAGAACAACTTTCTTCCTTAAAACCATCAATAAGAAGTTTTTTTTAGTATCAAAATTTGTACAAAAAAACCATGTTGGTCGAGGAAGCCATTCATGAGTTCGAAATATTATGCAATGTGATCCAGTGGAATAAGAAGAATCTGTTACTAGTCGATTTTTAGGGTGCTAAGACCCAAGAGCTCGGTTATTGTGAATATCCAGGATCTCGGATATTGTGAATATCCAGGATCTCGGATATTGGTCTTAATATAACTTTTTTGTCTGGATAATCATATAGGAGGGTAACCAAGTGTTACTTTTGTTTACAATTTGTCCTTTTTGTACACAATTTACCATTGAATTTGATTTGAAGTTTTCTTTAAACTAAAATATAAAAATCATACTTCCAAACAAATTATTTTGTTTAAATCGTGTTTTTTATTTTTATTTTTTTATTCTTTTTATTTATATATATATATATATATATATATATATATATATATATATTATATATATATATATATATATATATATATATATATATATATATATATATATATATATATATATATTTTGTTAAAAGCTAAAGTTAAAACCCTCCAAAAACACACTAAAAAAAAACCCGCCTATCTAATAATCTTAATTTGTGGTCCGTGATAACTTAAATTGAAACAAATACGTCCCTTTTTCTAATTTTATTTAAGGATGTATACGGAAAACCTTTTCTTTTGAATAGTATAAATTTTAAAAACTTATAATATTCTGTGACCTACTTTTAATAAATTATATACAATATTCCCTTTTGTAATAATTTTTTTAAAGTTATAATCCAAAGTCACACCACTAACTTTTAGCTTGTCACGCACTAAATATTAACATTAACTTATTCACAATTCACACAACTAATGATATGTAAACTGCATATCCCATTTCCACGGGTCAAAAATCTCCTCCTAAAATTTTCCTTTTCACACAACTTTCATACAACACTCACACTACGTTTTAACGTTAAAAAGACCCTGAAAATTCATATTCCACACCACCCAAAACATCAAAATGTCAGACCAAATACCTTTCCATATACAGGAGGATATCATCAAAAGACTTCCTGTAAAACCATTGCTTCAGTTTAGATCTGTCTCAAAAGCATGGAAATCTTTGATCGACAGTTCTGGATTTATTGCAGCTCACAGTGCCCTCCACACTCATCCACAACATCTGCTTGTAAAATACGAAGATTTGGTAGAAAATGAAGATAAATATGTTTCTTTTATAGATGATGATACTTTGCTCCAACAGAGGTTTGTTCCCTTTGTTCCGTTGTCGGTTAAGTCACTCAGACATTCAAAAATAGTCGGTAGCGATCAAGGATTGTTGTGCTTGTATGGCTATCATTGGGGCCCGGGTAATTCGGATAGCAACCTTAATTGGTCATCGATTGTTCTTTGGAACCCTTCAGTTAGGAAATCGATTGTTGTTGATATGCCTTATATGTTGTGTTCAGGCGAAACAACAAGTGTTGGTTTTGGGGTTTGTCCTGTTGCTAATGACCCCAAGATTGTAGAGATTACACAACTTCGTTTTTGGGTTGATAAGGAAAGTGAAACTACCAAGCCATGGAAAGTAAAGGTCTATACGTTGAGCTCAGGAAAATGGAGAAATGTATCTACCAATCTGCCAAATAGGTCAATTCGAGTTAGATGGTTGCAGGTAGTTATTGATAGGTTTATCTATTGGTGTGCTTTCCACAAATCGACTACACATACTCGTAATCTAATCATGTCATTTGATATTACTGATGAGAATTTTAGAGTGGTTGACCTCCCTGATAGTTTAGCTGAGCACTCTCAAACAGAGTTATCGGTTTGTAAGCTAAGGGAGAGTCTTGCCATGCTTCAATATAGTATAGACATAGGTAAACATGTTTGTGTTGTTTGGATGATGGAGCATGGTGTTCAAAGATTGTTTACAAAACTATTCAGCATTAGTTCTCCACATGGGTCGATGACAATATTGGGATTTAGGAAGAGTGGCCAACCTATAATTGAAGTGAAAGATGATCTTTCTGAATTGAGTGACCTTGCTGTATATGAGCCCAATTCGGAAGTGGAGATGAACGATCTTGAAATTTGCGGAAGAAGCAATTTGTTCTCTGTGAATTCTTACATGGAAACGTTACTTTTGCTGGTTTAGTCTAACTGCAGTAGTTATTGACCTAAATCAAGGATTAAGATAATGAATGCATTGCAATGGCATGACTGTTGGAGCAGGCAATTCAGGATGGTGATATCGGCTAAATGTATATTGAAGTGGATAAAAAGTTAATGCAACGCATTACATTTATGTTCTTTGCGATAAATGTCTCTGACATTAATGATGATAGATCTCACATTTTTGTGAGCATTATGCATGCACGCTTACGTTGTTTAGAGTCGATTATAAATGTTTTGTTAACGAAACTGTTTATAGCTTTTCCCACTGAAAGGAATTTACCCCAAACTATATCTACTTAATATTAAAACCATTATCGTTAATATTGTGTTTTACGAGTTGATTTATCTTTTATCATTCTAAACAATGCAAATGACCACGTTGAAAGATTCTTTTCCATACATCAACTTTATAAAATATTCCCAAAATGGAGATGGAAGTGGACAGTGACTTATTTCTTATCACCACAAGAATAAAGGTCTTTAATGACATACAAACTATGAATGCACTAGATTTATGACATGTATAAGTAAGTGTCGTAAAACACTGTCATTTAATATAAAATTTGAATGATATACGACACACATGTTTGCACATCCTAAAAATTGTTATCGTTTTATAACTTATTTTAGTTAACGCAAGTCCTACTACCTATCCGCAAAAGGAAATCCTGCAATATTAGAAAACCCCGCCTACCTCCGTTTTATTCTATCTTTCATGGATGATGGACTCTCTTGTCTCCTCTCATGTCTCTTCATTCCGTTCTCTCATATCTCCCGTTCCATCCATGCCTTTGTCTCCTCCCATCACCCACCTCCACTGTCTTCGACCCTCATCACCTCTTGTGTCCACACTCTCAATAAATATTATCACCATGAGTGCATATGGGTATCAATCTATCCATTAAAAATTTTTATAGACACCACTATGGGAAGAAAAGGAATCGAACTATGGCATGTTCAACATCATGGAAGTTATCATTATTCTTTGTAAGTGTTCCTCAATTTGTTTTTGTCTATTGATGTTAATACACAAATTGATCTTGGTGGCATGTCATATTTGATGAATCAAAATATGTCATGTATTTCTAAACCACAACAACCATTAAACCTATACACATGTACAACTTTCTCACCCTTTCCAAGAAACCCAATCGAAGCCTTAAAAAACCCGGATTGGAAGAGTGCCATACTCGATGCGTTCCATGCTCTTATAGATAACAAGACATGGAAATTAGTACCTCAGAAGTTAGGAATAAATATTTTTACGATTATTTGGATTTTTAGTAATAAAACATGGCCAGATGGATCATTAAATAGTAAAAAGCATGTTTAGTTTGTGATGGAAGATCACAAGTAGTTGGCATGGACCGTGGTGAAACATTCAGTCCGGTGATGAAGTTGGAAATGATACACATTTTTCTAGTATAGTACTATCTCAGTCTTGGCCTATCCACCAATTTTCTAAGAAGAACATATTTCTTCACGAAAACCTACATAAGATGGTTTACATACATCGTCCTATGGGTTATGTGACACAAAAATGCCCGATTATGTGTGTATGTTGAAGAAGTCATTATATGGATTAAATCAAGTACCATGGCCATGGAACAAAAGATTTGTAAACTATGCTTATGGTATGTGATTTTATCACACCTTTACCGACCGTTGGTGGAAATGCAAAGTGGTGACGGTACATAGATTACCCAAATCATAGAGCGCAAACCATAACTATCTATTGAACGAAACATATATGTATTCAAGCTGAAATCCTTCATTGTCTTGATCTTTATTCTATCCTAGGAACACATGCGATTTTTGAAAATATCAACCTAATGTTGGTGAGTGCACAAATTTTGAGTTGAACGTATATTAAACACTTTTTAGAAACCTTTCTATAAATTTTTATGATTCTTAAATTCTTGTTTTCCTATATTTTATTGTATCACCTCTTTAATTATTATCTTTTTAAGATATTCTACAAATCCTATCTTATTATCTCTATAGGATGCTTTACAATTCCTAATTTACTATATTTGTAGGATATTTACCGATCCTAACTTATTATCTTTTTAGGATGTTTTACTAATCCTAATTTACTATTGTGACAACCCCAAATCCATTCCCGTTAGAAACCCTATTTTCACTAACGGAATGCGTCATTATATGTTATTTCTCGGTATTGTTCGGGTCGTCAATAAATAAATATTTAGTTAATTATATGTTCCGGTATTATCATGAGTAATTATAACTTGCAAATGCTAACCCCGTTTAACTAAATAAAGTTATATTACTTTTCAACCACTTCACCCGGGTAAAAAGTTTTAACCCCGTTAAACTTTAGCATCGGGTAGCCGTGTATCGGGTACAATACCCGAGACATATAAAAACGCTTGAACACTACAATTGAACTCTTTTACCACACTTTCACCTCTCTCTCACTACTTTCTCTCTCTAGACCCGAAATCGACTCCAAATCCGCAAATTTCCGACTTCCAAATGTAAGGATTCATCCCCTAACTTAATCTAAACATACTTTACTGCCTTTAGAGTCCAAAATCATAAGAATCAAGGACCAAAAAGGAGTTTACGGCCTAAGAAGCTTCATAGGCCGTAAACCCCCAAAATCATGCCAAAACTTTGTTTTTCCTTCCTTTAAGCTTATGGACTAGTTAAGGCATAAACCTAGGGGACTTTGGACACTAAAACACAAGGATTTGACATGTAAAAAGGAGTTTACGGCCCAAGCATGTGCTTAGGCGTAAACACCTCAAACACCCCAAAAACACTTGTTAATGTCCCAAAAACTCATCTAGGGTGTTTGGCAATTTAGACTTGACAACAAGGAAGGCTTAAATGCATCAAACAACATCATTTGATGGCAAAAAGAGGAGTTTACGGCCAAGGCTAAGCTTGGGCCGTAAACACCCATATTTTTGTGTCAAACAAGTCCCAAAACCCCTCAAATGCATGTAAGGATTTTAGCTAAGGCCTTTGGAAGTGTGTTGTACCATTAAACTTCACATTTGAGCACAAAATGAAGAGTTTACGGCCAAGGATGTTCTTGGGCCGTAAACTCCCCAAAAATGTATGCCAAATTGTCCCAAACTCACTATAGGCCTTCTAGGATTTATCTAAGGTGTATGAGACCATGTTTGTACCATTAAAACATACATCTTGAAGGGTTTAATTGAGTTTACGGCCCAAGAACAAGTCTTGGCCGTAAACTCCCCAAAAATGTCACAATTATGATGTTAATCCCTTCTAATAGTCCAGACACATACCATTAAATTAAGGAAGTGAAATAAGGCCCTAATCATACATTTTGGAGTGTCACAAGAGTTTACGGCCAATCCTAGGGGGCTTACGGCCGTAAACTCCCAAAGGATGGCCTTTGGACCATAAACTCCAAGGGAGTGAGCTCGTGGACCCTCCCGTAAATCATTCATGACTTTGTACCACTCCCGGGAACCCTTTTTTAGGCCTTAAAACCCCGAAAACGATGCTAGAATGTCCAAATACTACAATGAAAAGCATAAGATGATTAACTTCTTGTAAAATACATATTTCATATGACATTAGGTCCTAGGAGGTGCTCAAGTGGTTATTGGGTACCAAACGCTCAATCGACACTTTTTACCCGATTTACCCGATTCACCCGATTTTCCGCGATTTCAGGTGAGTTCATACCCTTAATTGAACCTTTCAAATGTTTTTATATGTTTTAGGGGGAGATACAAGTTGAATATACATGTTTATGAAAAGTTATACAAGACTATTTTTCAGATTATAGAATTAATCACGTGTGATTCACAACCCGTAGTTCAAATCACATGTGATTTATCACTATGCTTTATAAATAAATCAATTGTTTTCAAAACTATTTTGGATAAACAAACAAGTTCTAAATGTTTCTTTTGTACAACACTTTTGTTTAATAAAACTCCTCATAAGAATGTATGTAACATCCCGAAATATCAAGAGTAGAGTTGAAGGGCTAAAAGAGTAAATTGGGAAAGAGTGACTCGGTGAGTCCATGTGCGGACTCGGCGAGTAGAGTCGCGACTTGGTCGCGTGTTAAGTGGCCGACTCGGCGAGTCAGGGTAATGGACTCGGCGAGTAGGCGCTGAGTGGAGAAAACCCTAATTCTCGGGGTTGAGCCTTATATAAAGATCATTATGTTTCCCTCCCAGCCTCTTTATCACCCCTTGAGCCCCAGAAACCCCTAAATCACAAAGAAGCACCATTGTTGGATGGAGTGGAGCTTGGAGAATGTATTTGTGAAGGAATTTTGGGAGATTGAAGGCTTGGAGCAAGGGGCTTTGTTTGAATTCGAGTCTCATTTCAATTAGGGCATTCCTTTGAGGTAATATCTCGTTTTTTGAGCTGCTATTTCTTAGATGCATCATTTTGGGGATGTTGGAGATCATATCTTTGGATGTATTGGAGTTTAGAGGTTAGATCTGAGGTTGCTACCTCAGATCTGGAAGGGAGAAGGTCTAGAGTGCATGAAAGTCCCTGTTTGTGAGTGGTTGATGGAGTCATCTTGTCCCAAATCCTAGCCCAATGTGCAAACGGCTTAGATCTCTTTGGATTCACGTAAAGTTTGCCACTTTACGTGATGGATGGGTTGTAGGAGGCTAGATCTATGTTTTGGATCAATTGCATGGCCTGGAGTGCTTCTGAATGGATTCAGAACGGTGGTACTCAGCGAGTCACATGGGTAGACTCGACGAGTTGCTTGCAGATGGCTTGGAACTCGACGAGTTGGAAGAACAACTCAGCGAGTAGGTTGAAGATAGCCTTGGACTCGACGAGTCCATTTGGACTCGGCGAGTCTTGTCGAAGAGTCCCAAATATTCTCTGGTAGAGTCGAGAATCGGTGAGTTGAGGGATGACTCGGTGAGTCGAGTGCGAGTGGACTCAGAGTTGTTGGACTCGGCGAGTCTTGGGGTGACTCGGCGAGTTAGGTCGCAGATTGAA